ATAGATAGATAGAGAGAGAGAGAGATAGATAGAGAGAGATGATAGATAGATAGAGAGACAGACAGATAGATAGATAGATAGATAGAGAGAGATGATAGATAGATAGATAGATAGATAGATAGATAGATAGATAGATAGATAGAGAGAGAGAGAGAGAGAGAGACAGACAGATAGATAGATAGAGAGAGAGAGAGATAGATAGAGATAGAGAGAGATAGATAGAGAGAGATGATAGATAGATAGAGAGACAGACAGATAGTAATTAGAAATAAAATGAGAAATTATGAGTAATTAGAAATAGATATGCTTGGTAACTGGATGTTATAAACTTGTTATATATGTTGTGTCGTGTTATAATAAACCGTAATAAACACAATGGCGAGAAAGAGAAACTGAAAGGGTGAGGCTGGATCATAACAGACAGTTAGGCATTAATATTCATAATACGAAGAGCAGTATATACTGTGCACGATCGTGTTAGAACAATATCTGATTAACCTCAGAACACCGAGAGCTGAATTCTGCAGGCTTACCTGACACATGCACCGCTGCAGTGACTCGCGCGCTACTTCCGGCTTCGAGACGGCGGACCGTAGACATCCGGACTCACGTGACAGTGCGAGAAAACATGTCAGGGGTACAGATAAACACGACACGTTTCTGCTTGGAGACAATGTTTATAGCACTATTGTAAAAAATAAAAATAATAATAATACGTAACACACATTTGTATTGACAGTACTAGCTAATAACAGCCAAAACTTTCAAAACAATTAATTAAAACTAAAAATATATATTAGTACTAAATATTAAAATGACGTGCGGTTGCCGATAAATACACGCGATTTCAGGCTTTTTTCTCCGCCGTCTGTTATTATTGAAATAAAATAAAAGTCCCGGATGGACTGCGTACAATTCTAAGCTCCTCCCACCAGAGTTTGACTGCTGTCAATCATTCGTTTCAACCAATAGCGGCGCTCGTTACTGTGACGTCTCTCTGTAAGCGAAACCCAACCCGAGAGCTCGCGCGAGAAGGTAACGCCTCGACTGCTTACATTTGAAGCACATTAAAGTCTAAATATTGTGCGGGTTCGTGTCTAATATAAATATGAAGGACAATGCATCTAGCTAGTTTGTGTTCGCACTCAGTTCATCAGCACTAGAAGGATGATAAAGTCTCTTATATGGGCGCTTAGAGGAAAGTCCAGCTCATGGAACTAATAGATACATTATTATTATATATTAAGTTAAGCATGTATCTAATATATTTAATAATTCTTTAAGTAAGTAGTAGCTGTTAATGTGTGTGTTTCAGGCCATGGACTCTCAGAAAGACATTCAGCCTCCTAAACAGCAGCCCATGATCTATATTTGTGGAGGTACTTGCTCTCTTCATGCTTGTAATCATCACCCATCACACAGTCTCTGTGAGCTGTCAGGTGTTTGTGTCTCTGCTGCTGTGTCTCAGAGTGCCACACGGAGAATGAGATCAAGGCCCGGGACCCCATCAGATGCAGAGAGTGCGGCTACAGAATCATGTACAAGAAGAGGACCAAAAGATGTATCCTTTCTCAGCTGAATAATGCTTCGTGGTTAAAGGACCCTCATGTTGTCCCAAACCATAACCCACAGCATATGTGGTTATTTTTTTCCATGCAACATAGAACTTTTAAAGGGGTCATATGATGCTTTTTTAAAGATCATTATT